TCTTCGACCTTGTAGTTTGAAGGATGTTGCGATCGTTTAAAGGTTAAACTTGCATATGCACGAAATAAAGCCGAGGTACCAATTTTTTACGAAATGAATTTTCAAGGAATATTCAACGATACTTGGATTACCCTCGAAAGAGGCAGATGCAGTTTATTGGGCTTTTATCTCTTACTTAATTACTTAAACATCCTACTATACACTATATATACACTACTATATATAATCCGGCTAAGCGGTTGTGCATGTGCATCCGTGTGTGTGTTTGTCTGTCTGACCGGAAATTCATAGCTCGGGCACCAGTGGTCGTCAGGAGTTGGTTTCAAGATATGATATAGGGGGTGGGACGGGAAAAGTATTTTGATGGGGAAAGAAAGAAAAAAAAAAAAAAAAAAAAAAAAAAAAAAAAAAAAAAAAAAAAAAAAAAAAAAAAAAAAAAAAAAAAAAGAAAAAAAAAAAAAAAAAAAAAAAAAAAAAAAAAAAAAAAAAAAAAAAAAAAAAAAAAAAAAAAAAAAAAAAAAAAAAAAAAAAAAAAAAAAAAAAAAAAAAAAAAAAAAAAAAAAAAAAAAAAAAAAAAAAAAAAAAGGCCGTTGGGGGTGATAAGAAGGCGTTCGAACGCACATGTCACGAAATTCACAGCGCAGGGCCCAGCAGCATTGAGGCGTTGCTTTGCAGATATGAGTGGGACGGGAGCATATTTGATGGGGACCAAAAAGTGATAACGGCTGATAGGGGCTGATAAGGAGCGATACAAGCAAATGTACTGAAGTTCTTATCCAGATGTGGGATAAGAAAACATCTCATTTTTGCGATGTAGTCGTGATCCATTCGACCGCTAATCTGCCCGAGCTTCCTAAGATGGTCGGTGTCTGTGGAAATACGATAAATTGGTAATTCTATCATCCGGTAAAAGAAGTTATTAGACCGCTAAACTATCCCAGTATCCAAGCATGGTAGATGTTTACGGTGAGGGGTGATAATAAGCAGCCCAAGTAATTGTATTAGTTATCCAAAGGTCATTCGGCTGCTAGACTTTGTTGTTCTAGACAAATGATGGATGTTTAGTGGTGTTGGAGATAGGAGAAATCACTGCTTTCCTCAATACCATCAGTAAAATCAATTGAAAGCAGTATGTTCTCAATATAACAGCCCGGCTATACTCCGTTTCACAGAAGCCTATGTTGACATGCGCGCGATAGCGTGCGGTGCGAAACTGGTTTCACATATTTGTGATGAACTAAGAAGCTGCTAGAAGCTTGATTCTTGACAATCCCAGTTCTACCTCACTTTTCCAAAACACCTGATCACAAAGGAATGCTCGTTTAAGGTTCATTAGATCTGCCTTCTTAAATCCTCGCCCGTTCTCGATCAGTAAACACGCTCCACTGTTAGGAAACTGATGCGCGAGTTCCAACACATTCAAAACGCGATCATTATCGCGATTTATGTCATTCTTTGTTTACACTCTTTTGTACAAGGTTGTCGCAAAAGTCTTTGCGCATTTGGCATCTTTTTTCAGAATTGCTTTTCTTCTTCAGTTTGGAGGATGTTGTGATCAGGTGTCCCTATTTCAGTACCTTATTTAGTGCAGCCAACAAATGCTGAATACATACACCACCATAATCGTCGAAACATTGCTCTTCAGCAGAACTTCAGGTTGCCGGCCGTTCAGAAATCCCGAGTCTTTGGGGCGAAAAGCTCAAAGAGGTTGACTCCGAGTAGGTCCGGATCATCGAACTGCCCCTATTTCAGTACCTTCGACGGCAACAGAGGCGTATGGTAGTCTGTCTCTACCAGGTCTGCTGAGTGATCAGATCATTCTATAACGAGCTTGGAGACCTTTCCTGAACTTTCTTCGTAATTCGTGGGCGAGCGTTGCCGACATAAAGTAAAGTTTCTCCGATTTTCCGGCACCATGCCGGGAAACCGATCCACTTGCTAACATTATTGTTCACCAATAGCAGTGGACTTCGTTGGCAGCAGCTCTCCATGAGCGAAACATTTGCAGCCTTATGAGATTTCAGTGTTGCCTCTAGGGTTACCGTTCTCTAATCGGAGCAGCAATTCTTTGTTCTACGCATCCGAGCCAGTCGTGCTTTCGCGTGCGGTTTATCTGAGATCCCACTTCTTGACACTACCAACAAAGTTGGCGGATCAAGCGATAGACGGGCGGCAAATCAAAATGTCCTTGCAAAATTTCATGAACTTAATAGCCTGTGGTCAGTCAGATCACGAAATATCCTTTCGCCATAATTTCACTGGCGATATTGAGGAACGGCCATTGTGTCTGGTAGCACTGAAGAGCTCCGCCAATTACCGTGCATTGCACTAAGCACTCTCTCCAATCGAATTCAGAATACACTCGTCAATGAGGGTGGCAGGCCGACCAGATTTGTGGTTTTTTCTCAAGTATCTGGAACTCGGCAACCAAATAATTGGCATATTGTGAAAGATAGTTCGGAGGTCCATCACAACACGTAGAACTCCCACTGCTTCGCTTCAATCGACGCATTTTGTGGGCTTATAAAGGCAGGAGCAGTCGAACATACCTTCAGTGAAAAGGCGATTTTTAAGCTTCAAACGCTGCGAAATGCTACGACAGAAATGCTGTGGAGAGAGCATTAACCACCGCTCACAATGCGTTTAACAGTGAATGTTTCGAAACGATCCCAAAAGATTTTACAAGTTGAACAAGAAAATGTGCGGGAACTTTCCCGACAACTTAATATATCAATTTTTGTACCTAGATTTCGTTCGTGGCAAGCTGAATGGATTTCGGTCATCGATGCACAGATTGTGGTTTACTAAAGTAGAAAGGGATTTTTCCGCTTTTCGCAGCGCAAAACGTTTTCCGAAGGAGTGCCTCACTCCTCATTAGTAGTGGACCTATGGCTAATGCAGCGGTTTCGTTTCGCGCTGCGAAGGGAAAAATCACTTTCTGTTCTAGCGATCCGCATTCGTGTCTGTCGGTATTCCACACGGGATAAAAGCATCCAGCCAAGCGACAGTTTGATCGACGTGTGAATCTACCTCTTACCTCTTTACACGGTAGACGAATAAAAAAAGTATTACGAGATAAGCGGAACGTAGGGGGAGACGTATCAAGCCCCGACAGGGTAGCAAAGGAGAAAGGGGAGGGGGCGTTGCAAAAAATCAGAAAGTACCAGCATTATGTTTGACCGCGAATTTTTTCGACAGGACCTCACTATGACCGGGCCAAATGTGTGCCAATGCTTGAGAGTGATCCCGCTTCGCATGCGCCCACCACTTCCAAACAGGTGGAATTGTTTCTTAAATCCTAAATTAAATCAGCTGCTATGCTTCATGTGAAACAACATGCACATTCAGCGTTCAGATATCTGCTGACCTGCAGCTGCTATGAACAACGAGCTTTCCAGAGCATACATTACGTATCCATTTCCTACGCATCATTTCGAATAATAAGACCGGCTGCGGACACTCTATCATTTGTCCCGTGGAAGGGCGAGGAGAAGCCGAAATGGATAAAGGATGGAGATCGAGTATGAAAAATTCTTGACGAGACTTATTTGCTCCGTTGCGTTGAGTCAGTCGATTCAGGATACGTTGGCATGGAACGGATGCCGATGGTTGCAAGCGGTAAATCCTAGTTCTATTATTCGCTTCAGCTTCATCTATTATCTGATCGCTTCAGCTTCATTCAAAAAAGAGTGGGTTATGCACATAAAAGCTGTTTATGGTCATTACAAGCAACCATCATAGTTTTTATTGCACTAACACCCACATATCTGGAATCAAAACTTCATCACAACCTATCGATATATTGCGTAAAATGCAGCTTTAATGCTGCTAAGGCTGCGTATGGCATGGTATGGCCGAAAAACTTAGCAGAATTGTAGACTCACGGCCTTTTAATTTTTCAAGAGCAAGCTCACGTTCCTCCAGGTTTTCGAATAGGAACATATATGAATAGTTAGAATTTTGCGAAAAGGTGAGAATTGAAAAATAAAAGGATTTATTGGATGTTCATCAGAGCAAACAACAAAGCACAAATCAGATACAAACTATACATTTTTTCAAACACTGTTGCGATGTGTTTTATTTCTTCTGTGCCTCACAGGTTTTGGATGGTGGAATATTTATTGCCTGACGTTTCGACGCAATCGTCGTTTTCAAAGGCCTGAAAGCGTTTCGAAACTTTTACGAACTTAACCTATCCGCTCAACACAAATATGCGCTAAGCTTACAACACTCAGACCAGCGAACCATAGCGTGCTAACTCCGTTCTTGGAGACCAGTGAACCATAGCGTGCTAACTCCAAGAACGGAGCTAGCACGCTATGGTTCGCTGGTCTGAGTGTTGTAAGCTTAGCGCATATTTGTGTTGAGCGGATAGGTTAGCGTCCGTAAAAGTTTCAAAACGCTATCAGGCCTTCGAAAACGACGATTGCGTCGAAACGTCAGGGCAATAAATATTTCACCATCCAAACCTGTCAGGCACAGAAGAAATAAAACACACCTAAAAATGCGGAGGTTTCAAGAAAGACGAACATGGAGCCTACTGTTGCGATGATTGTTAGACCAGAGTGGTCTACGTCCATCTGGACTTTAAACAAAAACCAGGACGACCGCCGGGCCAATTGTCATACCCCATCACGAAAGCTCTGTACGAAGAATGAAATGCCATGCACGATGTACGTCGTAGAACGGCAGCGACTCATCAGAATTTAGTTGAAACATTCATATTCGAATAGCACGGACAAAACGGACGATAGATTAGAGTGCAAAAGAAATGAAATATTCTTGCCATAGGAAGAACAAAAAGGTTTCTTAATTGGGAAATTCAAAGACAATTCAAACGAGTAGTATTTTTCCTAGTTTCTTCCAGAATGTTTACTAAAACAAATGCAATTTTTTGATCTTTTTCTCCTTGTCTCGGAGGATTGCTCTCAAGCTAACGATTCTTGCGGAACATAGAATCATGCCGTCTCCCTGAACGATAACTTCAAGTGCACTGGCACGGAACAAGAGCGAAAGAGAACACTGCTGGTGGCCGCTCAAGGAGTTTGATCAACAAAAGGATGACAGGTGATGCAGATTAACATCAAAACACATAGGGAGATTATCACAAAGTGTGAGGTAATGGAGAGCACAATATTTTTCCGATATGATGAAGATCATTTTTTGCCACTGGATGAGAAGTGTACGGCTTGTTCAAAACCGTGTCAAACAGAATCGACGCGTAAAAAATACAGATGCCGTCAGCGATTTTGCAGGATACCTTCAATCCATGACAGGTACGGAGCAATCATGGTGTAAATTCCAGGTTGTGCTTTCTGAGCGCATCCATCACCCCAAACGTGTATAACACTACGCCAGGCGTACGGCTTCCTGGAAAGCTATTTTGATAAAAAAGTTTTCACCTCGCGAGTCCCAGATTTTTTGCATGACTTTTCACCGCAGCACAGCGTCAGACGGCCTCAGAAAGAAAGCAGAATTTGCCAGTTTGAAGATGTCGCTAACAAACTGCTGACTTATGTCTTTACCAGTGACCCTAGTACATATATTAGCAGGTGGCAGTTCCCAGTACTAAGCCCCTCTCGTATTTCACCAACAACTCAGAAGGCGAACATGGGGGAGGATGGACTTCCGCTGTCAAAGCTTTCAAATTGTTTTATCTAGACTACTGCAGTTTGTGAATTTGTAAGAGTACAGCACCCATTTCACATCACCGGTTAGTATGCTGGATGACAAACGAAGGAAGGTGCGAATATGACATTGTCGATTGGGATTAGAGTTGACTCTTGCTTGGGCATGTGAGGAGCAAATCAAAATCTTCATTTCTCCGTGACCCTAGGGAGATACTAGTACTGTCATTTCAATCCTTTAGAAGTATAAGCAAAGTTATGGTTGCTCTGTCCAAATTTCTCTTCAACACCGTCAGGCAGAAGATCGCATTGAACGCTGCGCAACGAGTTTGGGAGAGAATACTCCTATCTTTTCTGATAGGATATATGCCCAAGCGACCTTCAAATGACCTTCACCAGTGCGCATAAAAAATATAGCACTGAAATGCTTAAAAAAAACTTGAGCAAATACTCATGGAAGGCAGCATGCTGTAGCATGAGCGCTACTTTCTATGAACTTCAAAAGTGTGGGTGCTACCTCACAAGAAAAAATACTTCACGCCTCCAACATTTTTTAGAATCCTCACAGCAGTGAATGTAAAGCGGTTCACTTGTCATGGGACAGGCTAACATATGTGTGGTCCACGTACAAATGGAAGTTAATGCAAGCAGAAAATTAGAAAAAAAGATGCAGTGCGATTTTCTCAATTATTTGGCGATCAGGATCGAAAGCCGCTGTTACTTCAGAAATAATGAGCCTAAAGGCATTTAATTGAAGGGAAATACGACGCACCATTGTCTTCCTGGCAAGCAAGCGGTCCTCCAGAATCACCTTGACATGAGTCAACACCACCCTAAATAAATAAGATATGCAACTAGTATGGCAAGCTTTTTAAACTTCCCCTGGTATATGGTTGTCGTATATGATTGAGTACCATTTTTCGTAACCACTACACGGAAAGAATCGAATCGAATAGTGAATCAATTTCCAAATTCAAATCGGACAGTTGTACCCCAACACTGGAAAATGGCCTTTCCATTAGGCTATGCGATACTCTGGTAGCTTTTCTGCTACCTATTGTAGAAACAACCGTGGTTCTATCCAAATAAAGAACATAGAATTTTAAAAACCGTACCTTATGGTTTGATGAATGTAAATGTTACTAAGAATTCAGATTCGCTATGATCCAAAATGCTTAAGAACCACGTATGTACAGCTTACCACATCGGTTATCAGCTGGCGCGTGCATGCCCCTCAAAAACCACCTACTCTTGCGGGAGCCACAGGTTCGCCGCTACACGTAACCTTGCTCTCCGAAAATCGAAAAAAAATTTTCCAGTGTCGGCGTCAGGTGCAGGCCAGCAGGTGCAGGCCAGCAAACCATGGCTGAGGTGGCAAGAGTATCAGAGATAATGCTAGGAAGTCACCCGTAAGTGACGCACGATACTTCGCCAGGAATTCGGAGTGAACAACTGTGGTAAAGAAGAAAGAATTCGTTCTGAACTGACATTCCAAACCATCGCTCATGGGAAGTCCCAAGGCTGATGTGGCGTTGCTGATGTGACAACAACATTCAAGTCCTAAGTCTTTAAGAGACATAATAGTAAAGAACTAAGGTTAGAGAAATTGAAGGTGCAAAATTTATTAGAGTGGAGAAGAGAATAGATGATTGCCATAGTTGTAGCATCACTCAAAAACCGTGTCTCTGCTATGCATAGAAGCAGCGATCGCATGACTGCGAGAACAGATAGAAAATAGGGATGCTGGACAAAACTAGCCGTATACGCGACGCTAATGGCTTATCGGGGAGGGTGATGGGGGTCAGCTTACCTAACCCTCGACGATTTCATTCCCGAAAGCGCTTATTCCACCATAGCACATAATCTGAGGCTACGTCGGGAGTGATAGATGAGGCTCGGGAAAGGTACACTGGTAGGAGGTAGGAGTGAAGACCGTTCGCGGAAAGAGGCTCTAAAATTGACTACGGCATACTTTCTGGCAGTAAATAGCACGCTCTTCACAAAAAAGGAAACCCAAAAGCTAATCTAGTGCAGTGGAGAGAGACAAAAGGAAATCGATCATGTGCTACTAATACAAAACTGAAGGGATTTCAGCATACCAGGAAAGCAGATAACCTCGAGCAATACGCTCATTCGACAGTTCTCAAGCGGCTCGATTTTGTTAGACCAGTTTTGAACAATGTGAGCGCCAAAAGCTCTCTTTTCCTAGACGTTTGCGCCTTCCACTCTACTCAGTTCCACTTGTGAGGTGCACACCTCATACGGGGGTATGCACCGAATTGACACCACGTCAGAGTGACATGGTGTCAATTCGGTGCAATTGGGGATATCAGTTTGGGATAAAAAATCTTGATAGCAAGATCTCCTTTCATCTCAACTCTGATCCGGACCTTGAAACGACACCCGAGATTAGATTGGTGATGTACCAGCGGTCGATAATGAAATTGTGTATGCATAGTTGACAGAAAAGCCATTAAACATAGACTCCCTCTCTACTCTTTTAAGTGAGGGAGGGGAGCGCAAACGAAGTTGCGAGTCTGTGAGGCTGCTTTTATAATTCGCAGTCCGCGCGGACCGCGCACGATGTGCAGTCGGCGACTTCCGATCGATAAATTTGGTTTCATTACATTCTCCTTTTGTTTTTTTCAGGTGTCCCACGTGGAGCATGGCTTTTGCTCGTGTTTTTTGGAGTGGGTCTTTTCGTTTTCGTGTGAATTGTTGCTTTTCAAATGTACTAGAATGGTTAGGTTCATACAGTGCGTCTGAAAAAGGCAGTAAGCCCCAGGTGAGTTCATTAGTAGGCAAAAGCCGTAATCCACTCAAAATAGAAAATTTTGAGCTAGACGGGGCGTAAGCGCAAATGGAAGGAAACGGCACATAAGATGTCAAAAAAGTAGAAAAATGCATTTAAATTTTAATAGTATTATCGATCGGAAGGGGCCGACGCCATCGTGGGCAGAGCGCGTGGTTGATGATTAAGCAGCCTAAACTTGCTTGCCCCATGGCTGCTTCAAACACGCGCGCATATAAACCAGCCGCCGCGCCGTAATTTACGTCGTGTGTTACGAGGTGTGCGCGAGGCATTCAATCTAATAGCTTGCGATGGCCGTCCACTAGCTCACTTTATAATGTCGTAGCGCCAAGGTCCAGCAATTTCGAGCCGCAACAATGGTACAAATCTGATACTTGCGGGCTACTCTATAGTATCCATGGCATAGATTACTCAACCTGACCTCATCTGGGATTTCGCTTCAAGCCTGTTGACTATTCATCCCGCTCTCGCAATCCTTCTCGACCTCCCCTATATTCCCTCCAGTTACGACGACAACACTATCAGGAATGGCCGAACTATGTTCTGTGGGCGTTTAACAACAGATGCAGCATTTTACCGCAATCTTGGCAGTCGGGAATGCTGTCTCGTCATGATTGGGACCCTCGGCTCGTTGGTCACTGGTTGTGCCTAGCGAGTTCCCAGTTCTGGTATTTCTTGTACATAAGCAAATCTAGCTCATTCAGAGCGTTTCTTATGAACTTCATTTGTTCCGCGCATGCCACACAGATAAGACACATATTTATGTTGTTAAGATACGCACAGTACATGTTTAAACAGGGAAAGGTGGTGGTGTCCGTTCCTCCAAGTGGTGCCACTGGGAACTGCTCACTTTTGTGAGCTGAGCTGAACGCGGACATTCGAATGCAGGCGACAGGCCCCCGTGACAGGCCGGCCTACGAACACCCACGTCACATCACAAATGTCATGTCGCTATGTGAGTATCGAGATAATGCTACGGCGTCCGCGGGAGCCGACGCGCACTCGCAAAGCCCGGCGAGGGTCTCTGGTTTAGACCATGAACCTACTATATATAATCCGGCTAAGCGGTTGTGCGTGTGTGTCTGTGTGTGTGTTTGTCTGTCTGACCGGAAATTCATAGCTCGCCACCAGTGTCGTCAGGAGTTGATTTCAAGATATGATATAGGGGGTGGGACGGGAACATATTTGGTGGGGACCAGAAAGTGATAACAGCTGATAGGGGCTGATAAGAAGCGTTGAACGCAATGTCACGAAATTCACAGCGCAGGGCCCAGCAGCATTGAGGCGTTGCTTTGCAGATATGAGGTGGGACGGGAACATATTTGATGGGGACCAGAAAGTGATAACGGCTGATAGGGGCTGATAAGGAGCGATACAAGGCAAATGTACTGAAGTTCTTATCCAGATGTGGGATAAGAAAACATCTCATTTTTGCGATGTAGTCGTGATCCATTTCGACCGCTAATCTGCCCGAGCTTCCTAAGATGGTCGGTGTCTGTGGAAATACGATAAATTGGTAATTCTATCGCATCACCGGTAAAAGAAGTTATTAGACCGCTAAACTATCCCAGTATCCAAGCATGGTAGATGTTTACGGTGAGGGTGATAATAAGCAGCCCAAGTAATTGTATTAGTTATCCAAAGGTCATTCGGCTGCTAGACTTTGTTAGTTCTAGAAAAATGATGGATGTTTATTGGTATTGGAGCTATGAGAAATTACTGCTTTCCTTAATACCATCAGTAAAATCAATTGAAAGCAGTATGTTTCTCAATACAACAGCCCGGCTATACTCTGTTTCACAGAAGCCTATGTTGACATGCGCGCGATAGCGTGCGGTGCGAAACTGGTTTCACATATTTGTGATGAACTAAGAAGCTGCTAGAAGCTTGATTCTTGACAATCCCAGTTCTACCTCACTTTTCCAAAACACCTGATCACAAAGGAATGCTCGTTTAAGGTTCATTAGATCTGCCTTCTTAAATCCTCGCCCGTTCTCGATCAGCAAACACGCTCCACTGTTAGGAAACTGATGCGCGAGTTCCAACACATTCAAAACGCGATCATTATCGCGATTTATGTCATTCTTTGTTTACACTCTTTTGTACAAGGTTGTCGCAAAAGTCTTTGCGCATTTGGCATCTTTTTTCAGAATTGCTTTTCTTCTTCAGTTTGGAGGATGTTGTGATCAGGTGTCCCTATTTCAGTACCTTATTTAGTGCAGCCAACAAATGCTGAATACATACACCACCATAATCGTCGAAACATTGCTCTTCAGCAGGCACAGGTTGCCGGCCGTTCAGAAATCCCGAGTCTTTGGGGCGAAAAGCTCAAAGAGGTTGACTCCGAGTAGGTCCGGATCATCGAACTGCCCTATTTCAGTACCTTCGACGGCAACAGAAGCGTATGGTAGCCCGTCTCTACCAGGTTTGCTGTACACGTGGGTCAGATCATTCTATAACGAGCTTGGAGACCTTTCCTGAACCTTCTTCGTAATTCGTGGGCGAGCGTTGCCGACATAAAGTAAAGTTTCTCCGATTTTCCGGGCACCATGCCGGGAAACCAATCCACTTGCTAACATTATTGTTCACCAATAGCAGTGGACTTCGTTGGCAGCAGCTCTCCGTGAGCGAAACATTTGCAGCCTCATGAGCTTTCAATGTTGCCTCCCAGGTTACTGTTCTCTAATCGGCGTAGCAATCCTTTGTTCTACGCATCCGAGCCAGTCGTGCTTTCGCGTGCGGTTTATCTGAGGATCCCACTTCTTGACACCACCAACAAAGTTGGCGGATCAAGCGATAGACGGGCGGCAAATCAAAATGTCCTTGCAAAATTTATGGTCTCAATAGCCTGTGGTCAGTCAGATCACAAAATATCCTTTCGCCATAATTTCACTTCTGAGGCGATATTGAGGAACGGCCATTGTGGTCTGGTAGCACTGAAAGAGCTCCGCCAATTACCGTGCATTGCACTAAGCACTCTCTCCAATCGAATTCAGAATACACTCGTCAATGAGGGTGGCAGGCCGACCAGATTTGTGGTTTTTTCTCAAGTATCTGGAACTCGGCAACCAAATAATTGGCATATTGTGAAAGATAGTCGGGAGGTCCATCACAACACGTAGAACTCCTACTGCTTCGCTTCAATCGACGCATTTTGTGGGCTTATAAAGGCAGGAGCAGTCGAACATACCTTCAGTGAAAGACGATTTTTAAGCTTCAAACGCTGCGAAATGCTACGACAGAAATGCTGTGGAGAGAGCATTAACCACCGCTCACATGCGTTTAACAGTGAATGTTTCAAAACGATCCCAAAAGATTTTGCAAGGTGAACAAGAAAATGCGCAAGAACTTTCCCGACAACTTAATATATCAATTTTTGTACCTAGATTTCGTTCGTGGCAAGCTGAATGGATTTCGGTCATCGATGCACAGATTGTGGTTTACTAAAGTAGAAAGGGATTTTTCCGCTTTTCGCAGCGCAAAACGTTTTCCGAAGGAGTGCCTCACTCCTCATTAGTAGTGGACCTATGGCTAATGCAGCGGTTTCGTTTCGCGCTGCGAAGGGAAAAATCACTTTCTGTTCTAGCGATCCGCATTCGTGTCTGTCGGTATTCCACACGGGATAAAAGCATCCAGCCAAGCGACAGTTTGATCGACGTGTGAATCTACCTCTTACCTCTTTACACGGTAGACGAATAAAAAAAGTATTACGAGATAAGCGGAACGTAGGGGGAGACGTATCAAGCCCCGACAGGGTAGCAAAGGAGAAAGGGGAGGGGGCGTTGCAAAAAATCAGAAAGTACCAGCATTATGTTTGACCGCGAATTTTTTCGACAGGACCTGACTATGAATCCAAATCTGTGCAATGCTTGAGAGTGATCCCGCTTCGCATGCGCCCACCACTTCCAAACAGGTGGAATTGTTTCTTAAATCCTAAATTAAATCAGCTGCTATGCTTCATGTGAAACAACATGCACATTCAGCGTTCAGATATCTGCTGACCTGCAGCTGCTATGAACAACGAGCTTTCCAGAGCATACATTACGTATCCATTTCCTACGCATCATTTCGAATAATAAGACCGGCTGCGGACACTCTATCATTTGTCCCGTGGAAGGGCGAGGAGAAGCCGAAATGGATAAAGGATGGAGATCGAGTATGAAAAATTCTTGACGAGACTTATTTGCTCCGTTGCGTTGAGTCAGTCGATTCAGGATACGTTGGCATGGAACGGATGCCGATGGTTGCAAGCGGTAAATCCTAGTTCTATTATTCGCTTCAGCTTCATCTATTATCTGATCGCTTCAGCTTCATTCAAAAAAGAGTGGGTTATGCACATAAAAGCTGTTTATGGTCATTACAAGCAACCATCATAGTTTTTATTGCACTAACACCCACATATCTGGAATCAAAACTTCATCACAACCTATCGATATATTGCGTAAAATGCAGCTTTAATGCTGCTAAGGCTGCGTATGGCATGGTATGGCCGAAAAACTTAGCAGAATTGTAGACTCACGGCCTTTTAATTTTTCAAGAGCAAGCTCACGTTCCTCCAGGTTTTCGAATAGGAACATATATGAATAGTTAGCATTTTGCGAAAAGGTGAGAATTGAAAAATAAAAGGATTTATTGGATGTTCATCAGAGCAAACAACAAAGCACAAATCAGATACAAACTATACATTTTTTCAAACACTGTTGCGATGTGTTTTATTTCTTCTGTGCCTGACAGGTTTTGGATGGTGGAATATTTATTGCCTGACGTTTCGACGAAATCGTCGTTTTCAAAGGCCTGAAAGCGTTCCGAAACTTTTACGAACTTAACCTATCCGCTCAACACAAATATGCGCTAAGCTTACAACACTCAGACCAGCGAACCATAGCGTGCTAGCTCCGTTCTTGGAGTTAGCACGCTATGGTTCACTGGTCTCCAAGAACGGAGTTAGCACGCTATGGTTCGCTGGTCTGAGTGTTGTAAGCTTAGCGCATATTTGTGTTGAGCGGATAGGTTAAGTTCGTAAAAGTTTCGGAACGCTTTCAGGCCTTTGAAAACGACGATTTCGTCGAAACGTCAGGCAATAAATCTTCCACCATACAAAACCTGTCAGGCACAGAAGAAATAAAACACATCTAAAAATGCCGAGGTTTCAAGAAAGACGAACATGGAGCCTACTGTTGCGATGATTGTTAGACCAGAGTGGTCTACGTCCATCTGGACTTTAAACAAAAACCAGGACGACCGCCGGGCCAATTGTCATACCCCATCACGAAAGCTCTGTACGAAGAGAATGAAATGCCATGCACGATGTACGTCGTAGAACGGCAGCGACTCATCAGAATTTAGTTGAAACATTCATATTCGAATAGCACGGACAAAACGGACGATAGATTAGAGTGCAAAAGAAATGAAATATTCTTGCCATAGGAAGAACAAAAAGGTTTCTTAATTGGGAAATTCAAAGACAATTCAAACGAGTAGTATTTTTCCTAGTTTCTTCCAGAATGTTTACTAAAACAAATGCAATTTTTTGATCTTTTTCTCCTTGTCTCGGAGGATTGCTCTCAAGCTAACGATTCTTGCGGAACATAGAATCATGCCGTCTCCCTGAACGATAACTTCAAGTGCACTGGCACGGAACAAGAGCGAAAGAGAACACTGCTGGTGGCCGCTCAAGGAGTTTGATCAACAAAAGGATGACAGGTGATGCAGATTAACATCAAAACACATAGGGAGATTATCACAAAGTGTGAGGTAATGGAGAGCACAATATTTTTCCGATATGATGAAGATCATTTTTTGCCACTGGATGAGAAGTGTACGGCTTGTTCAAAACCGTGTCAAACAGAATCGACGCGTAAAAAATACAGATGCCGTCAGCGATTTTGCAGGATACCTTCAATCCATGACAGGTACGGAGCAATCATGGTGTAAATTCCAGGTTGTGCTTTCTGAGCGCATCCATCACCCCAACTTATAACACCTGCCAGGACGTACGGTTCTGTAAAAGCTATTTTGATAAAAAAGTTTTCACCTCGCGAGTCCCAGATTTTTGCATGACTTTTCACCGCAGCACAGCGTCAGACGGCCTCAGAAAGAAAGCAGAATTTGCCAGTTTGAAGATGTCGCTAACAAACTGCTGACTTATGTCTTTACCAGTGACCCTAGTACATATATTAGCAGGTGGCAGTTCCCAGTACTAAGCCCCTCTCGTATTTCACCAACAACTCAGAAGGCGAACATGGGGGAGGATGGACTTCCGCTGTCAAAGCTTTCAAATTGTTTTATCTAGACTACTGCAGTTTGTGAATTTGTAAGAGTACAGCACCCATTTCACATCACCGGTTAGTATGCTGGATGACAAACGAAGGAAGGTGCGAATATGACATTGTCGATTGGGATTAGAGTTGACTCTTGCTTGGGCATGTGAGGAGCAAATCAAAATCTTCATTTCTCCGTGACCCTAGGGAGATACTAGTACTGTCATTTCAATCCTTGAGAAGTATAAGCAAAGTTATGGTTGCTCTGTCCAAATTTCTCTTCAACACCGTCAGGCAGAAGATCGCATTGAACGCTGCGCAACGAGTTTGGGAGAGAATACTCCTATCTTTTCTGATAGGATATATGCCCAAGCGACCTTCAAATGACCTTCACCAGTGCGCATAAAAAATATAGCACTGAAATGCTTAAAAAAACTTGAGCAAATACTCATGGAAGGCAGCATGCTGTAGCATGAGCGCTACTTTCTATGAACTTCAAAAGTGTGGGTGCTACCTCACAAGAAAAAATACTTCACGCCTCCAACATTTTTTAGAATCCTCACAGCAGTGAATGTAAAGCGGTTCACTTGTCATGGGACAGGCTAACATATGTGTGGTCCACGTACAAATGGAAGTTAATGCAAGCAGAAAATTAGAAAAAAAGATGCAGTGCGATTTTCTCAATTATTTGGCGATCAGGATCGAAAGCCGCTGTTACTTCAGAAATAATGAGCCTAAAGGCATTTAATTGAAGGGAAATACGACGCACCATTGTCTTCCTGGCAAGCAAGCGGTCCTCCAGAATCACCTTGACATGAGTCAACACCACCCTAAATAAATAAGATATGCAACTAGTATGGCAAGCTTTTTAAACTTCCCCTGGTATATGGTTGTCGTATATGGTTGAGTACCATTTTTCGTAACCACTACACGGAAAGAATCGAATCGAATAGTGAATCAATTTCCAAATTCAAATCGGACAGTTGTACCCCAACACTGGAAAATGGCCTTTCCATTAGGCTATGCGATACTCTGGTAGCTTTTCTGCTACCCTATTGTAGAAACAACCGTGGTTCTATCCAAATAAAGAACATAGAATTTTAAAAACCGTACCTTATGGTTTGATGAATGTAAATGTTACTAAGAATTCAGATTCGCTATGATCCAAAATGCTTAAGAACCACGTATGTACAGCTTACCACATCGGTTATCAGCTGGCGCGTGCATGCCCCTCAAAAACCACCTACTCTTGCGGGAGCCACAGGTTCGCCGCTACACGTAACCTTGCTCTCCGAAAATCGAAAAAAAATTTTCCAGTGTCGGCGTCAGGTGCAGGCCAGCAGGTGCAGGCCAGCAAACCATGGCTGAGGTGGCAAGAGTATCAGAGATAATGCTAGGAAGTCACCCGTAAGTGACGCACGATACTTCGCCAGGAATTCGGAGTGAACAACTGTGGTAAAGAAGAAAGAATTCGTTCTGAACTGACATTCCAAACCATCGCTCATGGGAAGTCCCAAGGCTGATGTGGCGTTGCTGATGTGACAACAACATTCAAGTCCTAAGTCTTTAAGAGACATAATAGTAAAGAACTAAGGTTAGAGAAATTGAAGGTGCAAAATTTATTAGAGTGGAGAAGACAATAGATGATTGCCATAGTTGTAGCATCACTCAAAAACCGTGTCTCTGCTATGCATAGAAGCAGCGATCGCATGACTGCGAGAACAGATAGAAAATAGGGATGCTGGACAAAACTAGCCGTATACGCGACGCTAATGGCTTATCGGGGAGGGTGATGGGGGTCAGCTTACCTAACCCTCGACGATTTCATTCCCGAAAGCGCTTATTCCACCATAGCACATAATCTGAGGCTACGTCGGGAGTGATAGATGAGGCTCGGGAAAGGTACACTGGTAGGAGGTAGGAGTGAAGACCGTTCGCGGAAAGAGGCTCTAAAATTGACTACGGCATACTTTCTGGCAGTAAATAGCACGCTCTTCACAAAAAAGGAAACCCAAAAGCTAATCTAGTGCAGTGGAGAGAGACAAAAGGAAATCGATCATGTGCTACTAATACAAAACTGAAGGGATTTCAGCATACCAGGAAAGCAGATAACCTCGAGCAATACGCTCATTCGACAGTTCTCAAGCGGCTCGATTTTGTTAGACCAGTTTTGAACAATGTGAGCGCCAAAAGCTCTCTTTTCCTAGACGTTTGCGCCTTCCACTCTACTCAGTTCCACTTGTGAGGTCCACACCTCATACGGGGGTATGCACCGAATTGACACCACGTCAGAGTGACATGGTGTCAATTCGGTGCAATTGGGGATATCAGTTTGGGATAAAAAATCTTGATAGCAAGATCTCCTTTCATCTCAACTCTGATCCGGACCTTGAAACGACACCCGAGATTAGATTGGTGATGTACCAGCGGTCGATAATGAAATTGTGTATGCATAGTTGACAGAAAAGCCATTAAACATAGACTCCCTCTCTACTCTTTTAAGTGAGGGAGGGGAGCGCGAACGAAGTTGCGAGTCTGTGAGGCTGCTTTTATAGTTCGCAGTCCGCGCGGACCGCGCACGATGTGCAGTCGGCGACTTCCGATCGATAAATTTGGTTTCATTACATTCTCCTTTTGTTTTTTTCAGGTGTTCCACGTGCCGTGTTGCTTTTGCTCGTGTTTTTTGGCGAGAATCTTTTCTTTTTCGTGTGAATCATTGCTTTTCAACTGTCCTAGAATGGTTAGGTTCATACAGTGTGTTTGAAAGTGGCAGTAAGCCCCAGGTGAGTTCATTAGTAAGCAAAAGCAGTAATCCATACAAAAAGAAAATTTTGAGCTAGACGGGGCGTAAGCGCAAATGGAAGGAAACGGCACATAAGATGTCAAAAAAGTAGAAAAATGCATTTAAATTTTAATAGTATTATCGATCGGAAGGGGCCGACGCCAAGTACGCATCGTGGGCAGAGCGCGTGTTGACGATTAAGCAGCCTAAACTTGCTTGCTCCATGGCTGCTTCAAACACGCGCGCATATAAACCAGCCGCCGCGCCGTAATTCACGTCGTGTGTTACGAGGTGTGCGCGAGGCATTCAATCTAATAGCTTGCGATGGCCGTCCACTAGCTCACTTTATAATGTCGTAGCGCCAAGGTCCAGCAATTTCGAGCCGCAACAATGGTACAAATCTGATACTTGCGGGCTACTCTATAGTATCCATGGCATAGATTACTCGACCTGACCTCATCTGGGATTTCGCTTCAAGCCTGTTGACTGTTCATCCCGCTCTCGCAATCCTTCTCGACCTCCCCTATATTCCCTCCAGTTACGACGACAACACTATCAGGAATGGCCGAACTATGTTCTGTGGGCGTTTAACAACAGATGCAGCATTTTACCGCAATCTTGGCAGTCGGGAATGCTGTCTCGTCATGATTGGGACCCTCGGCTCGTTGGTCACTGGTTGTGCCTAGCGAGTTCCCAGTTCTGGTATTTCTTGTACAGTAAGCAATTAGCTCAATTCAGAAGCTTTCTTATGAATTCATTTTGTTCCGGCATGCACACAGATAAGCACACATATTTATGTAAATACGCACATACATGTGTAAACAGGAACGGTGGTGGTGTCCGTTCCTCCAAGTGGTGCCACTGGGAACTGCTCACTTTTGTGAGCTGAGCTGAACGCGGACATTCGAATGCAGGCGACAGGCCCCCGTGACAGGCCGGCCTACGAACACCCACGTCACATCACAAATGTCATGTCGCTATGTGAGTATCGAGATAATGCTACGGCGTCCGCGGGAGCCGACGCGCACTCGCAAAGCCCGGCGAGTGTGAAAAGTATGCGAGGGTCTCCGGTGCAAGGACGGCATCGGGGGGCAACTAGGCTAGTCCAAAAGTCCCGCAACGTATGGAAGGTTCGCGTTGCAACATTGAATGTTGGCACATTGACAGGTCGCTCGTACGAGTTGCAGAAGAAGAATTGATTTCTGTGCCGTGCAGGAAACGAGGTGGTCCTGCTGCAAGTCGAGGGACATTGGCCGCGGCTTCAAAGTCGTTCTCTGTGGCAGTCCCAGGACAACCAGCGGCGTCGGTGTGGTTGTCTCTGAACGTTTCCGCGATTCTATTGCGAATGTCGAACGTTACGATGACCGCTTGATGAAGATCGTTGTCGCTATGGAGCAGCGTCAATACCACATTCTTCTCTGCGTACGCTCCGCAGACTGGCTGCTCCGAACGAGCCAAGGACGAGTTCTGGGCCCTGCTAGATGAGAAACAGCTGAGGTACCATCGGAGGACGCTATCATTGTCGCAGGTGACCTTAATGGTCACGTTGGGCGCTGCGAAAGACGGTTACAGCTGTCATGGTGGTTTGGTTATGGGTCACGTAAACGCCGATGGCGAGCGAATTCTTGAATATGCAAGCTCGCACAATCTCACCATCGTGAACACAAACTATCGTAAACGTGACTCACACTCATCACATTCTACAGCGGTAACACAACATGACAGTGTACGCAAGATCGGCTCAACATAGACGTGCACGGAAAGCGGCCTAAGGGACGCCCGAAACAGCGCTGGCTCGATACGTTGCACGAGACTTGAAGTCGGTTAACATCCACCCCGATCAAGCATTTAATCGGGAAAAGTGGCGTCAGCACATCAGAAAAGCGGACCCCGCCAACAAGCGGGACAAACGCTGAAGAATAAGAAGAAGAATGTATAAACAAAGCAACTTAGTTATTCATCCACTGCATTTCATATAGGTACACTCTAAATTTTCCTATTCCAAACTGCCGTGCATCTTCGAAAAATACGGTAGCCACCAATGAATGCTTCATGACGGAAAACCTTGATAAGATTTCTCAATCTTGAATAACCCGAACATCGAACATCGGAACGAATTTTCACTATATCACGAATATTGTGAAACGACACTCTCATTAGTTGAGTTTAAATAAAAAAGAGGGCTCCATTTTCTCAGTCAGAACCACATTAATACGTTTTGGAACGCTCGCAACCAAGCTAGCCATCACATTAGGATCAATTTTTCTGTGCGCCGATAGTGGACGTTTTCAGACCTTTTGTTCCATTCTGCCTTGCTTCGCTGTAGAGCTCCTTTACAGTGACGGCCCAATGAAAAACCATTGATTCAGTCACCGGCCGCTAGGGAACTGTCATATTTTTATTGCACTTTCATCTGGCGTGGAAGTACTGGCATGGAAGATACGTCATCATGCATGAAAAAGGATCGAGGACGCTGTTGTGGAAATATTGCTAAAGTCGCTCCAAAAAGCCTCAAACCATAAGGGACTTTACGTTGCTTCGAAAGCATGAACAATTTCCACGAGATCCTCCTGTACTTCTTCTGACGGGTAAACCTCAGCTAAACTTTCCCTCGTTGTTTCATCTGGAACAAGAAACAAGGAGGGAGAGCCAACGATCGCGAAGTCTCGTAGTAGTTTACTCTTGCCCAGCTAGTTGAGGCGCTTTCCACGGCGAACTGGAGACTGCGACCTAATGGACTCCGACAATCTTAGAACGGGTTTTCATCAGTCCCTGGCGATGTTCTCACTCTGCAGGTTCAACCACCTCACAATGGTTTTCTCACGGAAAGCCGCATTTTCGCACAGTCCTTGGCCCACTCGTAGAATTCGACAGAAGAGGTGCTCTGGCTTGAGGTTCTTAGTGGGAAAAGAGGCGAGTCGCACGAGGTATGGTAAACTCGATGTTGAGCTCCACATATATCCCCGCTTCCCTGATTTCCCTTCACGGATCGTGAGAAATGGGAAACTTTTTATGAGTGGCCCGATATTCATGAAACGGTGAAAATTCGTTCCAAAAAAAACTTATATAGGTTAGCCAAGGGGAGAATACTTCAGAAAAACATCAAATTTTCCCGTCATGAAGAATGATCACCATATTTTCGAAAAATGCATAGCAAGTTTGGAATAGCAGAAAACAGGGTGTCCTTACACTTATGGATCGCAGAGAACCAGTAGAACCACATGTTTCATTTGCTGTTTCTATTGAGAGATGATTACAAACAATGTGCATAAGAATGGGAACTGAAGGCAAACATATATATGCATTTTCCAGATAGATAATACCTGCCTGCAAAACCCGTAGGAGAGAATTATTGACGGTCTACAAGAGATGCAACTATGCATGTGAGACGAGAAAATGCATAGGTATCCTAGTTTGACTGGACTGGGTGTTGAACGACGCAAAAGTCTACATTCATATGAGACGCAGATTTGTTATTATTCAGGGGTAAATATTTCTGATCTATCAAAACAGCTGTTGATGAAAACACAATAATTCTGTACCTCTAAGTAGCCAGCGCAAAACGCGGAGCGGCTCATGGAGGTATAGATTCGAGACGAGTTCATGCATTCCGCTCGGTCAATGATCGGAACCACAGCAGCTTGGAGCCGCTTGGGATAAGCTGGAACAAATTAGCAGTCAACTGTTAGCTGTACCACGTTTCGTAATGACACATCTAATACCAAGTTTATAGATTCTCACAAAGTCCTACGCTGCCCCAGCCCGATGCTACACATTTTCTTCCTTTATGGTAAACAAACTGTCGCGAAGGCAGGCAAATAGGCTGCGTCCAGTCGTCGAATCGTATTCCAGGATGCTCGATCTCCAGAATGGCTAGATCATGAGCGAAGAGATCTGAACTGCACAAAATATAACGATCGAACCAACAACTATAAATCAGGCAGACATTAGCATCCCTTCAGAACCGTTTGCCATATGAATGCATGTATGACCATGCACATACAGTGATATGCACGGAAGGATGGGGGGGGGGGAAGAACGAGAGGATGTTTAAGGCAATTCTTCCCCATTTATGTCTGGTCCCATTTCGGTGACCGTGGCAAGGCGAAAGATATCCTGAGTATGGGTAGAACTTCATACGTGGGGTCGTGCAGGGGATAATAATTATTGCCATTACGTGAGTTCTGGTCGTGAGGATGATATGCATGGGAAGAGGATGGTGGGGGGATGGGATCGAAGAATGGCGAGAGGAAGTTCAAGGCAATTTTTGATCCATTCAACTACATATTGTAGACAGTGGTGCCGGGATGAACACAAAACTAGAAGGAACTGCTTAGAACCCGAGAGAGACCCGTCCCTCGAACGTTGATTTTTGCATTGATGCGTCTGTCGTTGGCGCTGCCCTCTTCAGTGCTGACGCTCTCTTTTTCTCTTGCTCTCCACTCTCTCTGCTAATTGGCTAGGGGTGGATGGCGAGGGGTCAGTCAGCCGTTGGGAGCGGAGCGGCGTGGGTTTGGGCCTGCTAGGCCGCTCGTGGCATATCCTTGGCCATATCTTATCGAGAATTGCGTGCTGATCCGCACTTTTGTGGGGTGGAGAGTCCGCCCGTCTTCCCACTGGGTGAGTTTTTCTTTCGTCGACCTTCAACCCTCCACCTTGTGGTAGAATACTCCAAATATTGGAAATAAAGTTTTCATGCTGACAGAAAAACAACACTTCGGTGATTACCTTCGTAAAGTGGGTAGAAATAGAGATGAGAGACGTCGAAGGTTTGCTCATGTCCTTCGTCTACGGTAATGTCCCAATCACCCACGACTACGATATAGGAAGTAGGGCGGCGATCTTCTCTTGAAAAAAAGACGATTGTTTTCTATATTTCTAGGAAATGACGTAACTGATTTTTTGAAGGAAGGTGTTGTTGTGGCGAAAAAAGACGCATTTTGGAGGAAGAGTTGCTTAGGCTTTTACAAGAGAGGTCATTTAAAGAAATTCCGAGAGAGAAAACTGGCATGGCCTTTTTTCATGTTGATGTACGCACACACGCGACGTCAAAAGCAGGGTTTTGTTGACTGATGAATGGACTGAGTAGTGCACGAACTTCACCAAAAACACCGTGAATCAGGTAAATGTACAATAATAACTAACTAACTAACTAACTAACTGACTAACTCAAAGCAGTGAGCTGCTGTGATGAGGTGGGTTCTATCGAGAATACTGGCGCCACAATGATGAGCTCCAGTCTGAAATCATAATGTATACATATTTCTCCGGCATTAGCAAATGGTATCTGTACGCTTTTTTTCGCCCAGAAAATGATGTTGGACATGTGCTGATAAAGATGTTGAAAAGGTAGAAAACTTACAGCCTTCACTTTGATCTCGGCTGTCCATGGAAAAGCACCGGCAACCGTCTCAAATCCACCAACGACTCGAGCAAAGCGTGAATGGAGCGGATCACGTGCAGCTACGCCCACCCGACGAACTCCACAAGAACTCGAACCGTCTAAACATGGTTGCTAACGCTTCGCTTTGGTTGCTGGACAAAACACAGGGATGCAGTTACTGAGAGGCCCTCTAGCGTTGTTCCGCCTTTTTGCTCCGAATTTTGAACAATTGGATATAAATGCATACAGCGCATTATTGCTTCAGCTCTTCCATAGACTCTCAAAACTTATTCACGTCGAGAGGATGAGCTGCTCAAAGTTGTCCTCATGAGATTTTCCCACTGAAGGATTAAGCTTCTCAACCAATGCGAACATAAATCCATGAAAAACAAGCATCTACATGTATTACTATGCAGAAGACATAGAGACAAAATTGCAATAAAAAGTGGCTCAGGCTTTGCCAAATGACGTTCGAAAATTTATTCGTGGTGTGAACTTAAGTGCAGGCTTCATTCCTTGAAGCCAGGTAGGGATTAACTTCCAAACCAATTCCTTCCATTACCTTCGCGGGTGATTATGCAGCCACAGAGATGAATCAGGCCCGTAGTTCAAGACAGCGCGGTAATAAAGTTCCTGAGGAGTTGTTATCAGTAGCGCCGCTTGGCGTTAGCTATGAGCGCCTATCGCGGGAGGTGATGCATGGATAGCACATGGCGTGAAATCACCTGGATCGTTGCCGTGTACGGATCATGGTCAGCAATGGTTGGTAGTCCTGAGAATTCTATCCTCACAGAGATCGTCAACCGTGTTGTACACAAAAGAAACGAAACGTGTATCTACGTTAATTGTGGAAATTTCCTAACACTTACCAGGAAGGCATTCAAATTCCCATGGAACTTTGATTGAGACCCAGATATATCGATAGAGCTTCAAACGCTGATTACAAATATGGAAACTAAAACTGCAAAATGAACCTGCCAAGGAAGTTGTGAGCAGTTGGCTGGAAGTAAAGCGTTACATATAACGTGCTAGCCTCCGGGCTTTCAAAGTCGCCGTGGAGTAGTGGTAGTGCTCTCGAAATTTGCACTCCAACGGGAAGAGAACTTATGACTTCCCGGGTGAAGAGCGAGGGCACTACCACTACTCCACGGCGACTTTGAAAGCCCAATCAGCACGGTTCATATGCAACGCTTTACTTTAGCCAACTTTGACTGCTCACAACTTCCTTGGCAGGTTCATTTTGCAGTTTTAGTTTCCATATTTGTAATCAGCGTTTGAAGCTCTATCGATATATCTGGGTCTCAATTCAAAGTTCCATGGGAAGTTGATCAAGTCAAGTCCCTGGTTAGGGCGAGTATCGAAAAGAATACGTTGAAAGGGGCTCACCTAATCTTTGAGCATAACAACGAATCCGAGAAACTTGACGACAAAGGACAAAGCCTCGTAGTGCACAGTGGGTGTCACACTTGATAAGCCAGCCATAAGTATTCAGCGTAGTGGGTTTGAGCACAACAGCAGGTGTCCTGAATATACGAATACACACATACACATGCATAACATAGGTTCAGAATGTTTACATCCAAAAGCAGACGATACAGTGTACAGGCTGTGCAAAAATTAGCTAAACTTAAGTTGATTATAGGAAATCAATATGGGCGAGAAGTCCCAAATTAACAACACTATCATACTGGGGGAAGTTATCAAACAAGGAACAACACTGCTCTTCAAATTGATAAATTAATGAGACTTCCTAGACATCGACGCGACAATCTCTGCATTGTCAATGGGTGTTCTACCTTGTTCTGACACCCTGTGTTTCTTATTGAGGTTCCAATCGCTTAGAAATATCAAGCGAGACAAAAGAAGTTCGAGACAATTGTACTATCCAGTTTTATGCCTTGAGTAGCAGAGCGTCGTGATTCCTGCCATTGTGATTTCTGCGACCATCACTGAATGGCTGTTTGGTTTTTCATTAGCATTGGTCCGGTTACCATTTTTTCGAGACTACCCCAACGGCAGAATGTCTTCTCATCGAGGGAAGCAATCGAGAAATGAAGCTCATCACGGAATCAGAGCAGTGCCCTTTAGCAACATTGCTTTCTATTCAATTTCCACGGGTCGGTTGGATTGTGCATTTTCATGCATGCAAACCTTTTTGGTAAGAGGTGTGCATACGACACTTACAAGAAGGTGCGCTGGCATCAGTTCCAGTGAGCAAACGACGGATTGAGAAAGCTGGCTTCCAGTGCTTCTTCGCATGTCTTCAAGATATTACTCATGAAGTCACACAAGCAGTCTATTCAGGTCCAAGCCTATTGATGCCGGAAAATCGCCATTCAAACTTCTTGTGATGGTCAAAGGTGGTCGATGGAAATTTCAAAGAGGTTCATCGTTTGGCAATGCAACAGAACAAGCAACTCGTCGCAGCACAGCGATTGTTTTTCGAAGAATTGAAGGTTTGTCCTTATTGAAGCTAATACATTTCATGTGACCAATCGAAGATGGAACACTGAATTATCAAAATAATCACATAGAATGCTAATCACAATTTCCTGGTGTTTAAAATCAAAAACTGACCACGGTAACCTCTTGTTACCGTAATTCTTGGCCATCTTGCGCATTTAACGATGGTTCGTTCACAACATTAGACGACTACGTCGCATGTTAACAACCACTCAGATGACTGTGTCTGAGTATTAGTACACGCCAAAGTTAATATTTCCGTTTGCGCCTTAACTATTGATACTCCAGATCAAGGTGGTCTACAACAGAGAAAAATTTGAGTTCATGAACACAAAAATGACAGCTACGATGAACCCTTAGGAGTTATTTGCTTCCTTCTCTTCCTTTCCCCGCTGAAGCGATAAACCAACCAGCATTGCGTTATTTGACATTTCTCGAAACATCACATTGGATTTTCCCACCAGTAGGTTCCATGTATGTTTTATCATGTAACCAATTTTTCAAACACATTTTTACGACTCATTTATCGACACTAATGTACAGTGTAATTGGTTTCATTATCTACGACTATGTGCTCTTCTAAAGAACTTTCAGGCAAGTTTTAACGTTCACAGCACTATTTCACAAAGCAGCAGGACTTTCAGGACGAGGTTGCCTGGAAGAGTGTATGGGCTCACCCCATATTCATGTCACTACAGATCCTGTCAGCAGCCGTTTGTCCGAAGTTCTGCTCACAAACGGGTCGCCATTCACCTTTGAATAAGACCTGCACATTACCACTCACTTCGTTTCCATCCTTTAGACGAAAAGAAATACCTAAATAGATACAAAGAGATAAAAAAATTCAGAAGCTACGAAATCCACAAAAATTGTAGCATGCCTCTTCTAGAGAGAAATAGAAGGTGCATGGTTTAGGCTTTTTCGAGCACGGAAAATGCCTAAAAATGGGCATGTCTCCATGAACCCTTTCGGCCCTGGCGGTGGCAATTGCCACCATCAAATTCAAATGTCTGCATTACCGCTGCAACAGCATATTTTTACTACCTGCTGTAGAGATTACTTCAGACGACCTTCCCCTCCCCAATTATGCTTGAACCTGCCATTTTATTGTGTCCGATTCATCACGTAACCTCATTCGTCTCCATGAGATTTATCGCGACTACTTCCTATGAAGGCAATTATTACGATGAGTGGAGGGCGGTGCGGTTTTGTGACGTTCTCAACGTAACTGGCGGACTGGACCTCTCAATCTTCAATGACCTCAAAGACCCTCACAACCCCCATCCATCCTGTCATTGCATAAGCACACGCTAAGCAGTATCCGGTTTACGGATCTATTAGGTCGTGAAGAAAGTTCTTGCGCTTTTCGGTGTTTCGTTTTTGAACGCTTTATTTTGTTACGAATTCAAGCAAGCTGCCAATGAGCTGTATGTGTTTTGAAGAGCTTTTCTTGTTCTATCTAACAGCTAGGCTAGCTATGTTCCTTATTATTTAGTTGTCATTTTTTGAAGCCTTGAATACGGCATACTCCAAGAGCAAATTTGCATGATTTCCTTTTTCTAGCTCAAAGCAGGCCAGTATGGAGAGGAAGCAGGTCAAGATATTATAGACGCACTTGGCTGAGATTCGCAATAAATATGGTCTGAAGCAATTGTTCAAAAAGCTTTTGTAAGAATAGCGAGAGCCCTTGTGAGGGTGGTGATCGGAGATTGGACAACGCCAACGATTAGTCGAACGTTCTGGTTGAAGCACGTTTGCACAAATCTATTGAGAGGGTTCCTCCTAAACTAATCGCACTTGCATTGTGTTTTCTTGTTGTACGGGAAGAGCTGGAAAGTCCCAAAAATTCAAATAGGGCGTGCCGCGACAGCTCACCATTTTGAAGGGTCGTTCGCCGCGTTCTAGCTTGTTTCATGCCATGAAAACGACCTGACTTTTTGATCATTTGCGACGCACGACAAAGAACGGATTCTTTGCTACAGAATACGAACCTTTGGTGAAGTGATCGACCGCGATCAGGCTCTACAAACTTTGCAAAAGTGAAACTTCACTGAAGGAAGGTTGAGGTGACTTTCATAAGGTCAGCGGCTGGTCTAGCTTTTCGTAACCAGGTGGATCTGTTAATGTGGAAAAAGTACTCCTGATAATGTGTCAAACTACTCCTAGAACTCTGGCACATATGCTCGAAATTCCTCATTATAAAGGAACCGGCTCGTCCCTGACAGGTAGCTCGGACGCACATTCCACAACCAACCCTGCAGAAGTTGACAAGATTGGCTACGAATTAGTCCTGCGAACATCCTACTCGGTAGACCTTTTGCCTATAATTTGTCACTTTCTCGACTACCTGGATAGCTTCTCCAAAGAGTTATGCTTCAAAAACCAACATGATGCGGAAACGACCTCCGCCGGGTTCATCGTCTCTAGAGCTCCAGTATTCTGCACTACCGGGCTGATTCAACGCAGCTATTATTGGCAGAGGTTTGTGGATTCTAACAGTCTTTACTCCAATCAAAAAGGTTTCGAATGAGCCGAGATACAGGCATTTGAAAATCAAGGTCCAAAAGCGCAAGAACTTTCTTCACGACCTAATAGTTCCTACATATGAAGGTCTGTGAGCTCCGAGCTTGACTTATTATAATTTTCACACGGATGCTGGTTTTAAGGGCACGCTCCGGGATTGAGCGCGCTCGGCTGTTCCATCCCGTGAGTAGTAGAAAGGCGGGCAAGATGTCGATGATGCCACGCCCCTTTTGCAGATTTAACACGTTGACGACATCGCGCGTTTTGGGTTTTTGCGCCGCGTGGGACCACGGCGATTTTGCAGGCGCCGCCGCCTCACATCAAATCCGTGAATTTTGAGCTTTAAATACGCAAAACTCGGATGCAACAAAATGTTTAGAATGATATTCGATGTGTCAAACTTATCAGAAGGGACAACTGTAAAAAATCGACGTTTTCTGGCGATGAAAGGCAAGTTTCAGTTGCTTTTGCTGCAGTGAACCTCAAAATTATTTTTGACGCGGTTGCTCCACTAAAAACATATGTCTTGCTATATGTGTGGGTCTGTACTTACTTCTACTGCTCTTTTTTATGACCAAGATTATCAGAATATAAAGGAAACTAGGAATGAACACAATTGGGAAATTCGTAGGGCTTAGAAAACCTTCGCTAAAAAGGAGCATATTCAACCATTCAATGAACCTCGCCGTGTCTAGTCATATTATGGTGTAGTCTATGGAATAGATGCAAAAAATTAGAAAAGAAGTAGCGCATGCGCGAAAAAAATAAATATTTGTGTGTGCAGCGCATGCGCTGCACACGGTCCCACACGGTGCTCAAGGTGTGATGCGCATGCGCTGCACAATGTCGTCAACGTGTTAAATAGCAAAAACAGGACTGAGAAACATCGATGAGCATTGTTAGTTGTGTTGTGCCATGGGAGATCGTTTAGTGAGACAGTTACCCTAACGATCTAAGGTTCGTTGTCTCTTAACGCTGACTTGCAACAGTTTAACGCTGTGCGTGATGGTGCACTTCTCTGCTCAGAATCAGACCGTAGAATGAATCGTCGCTCCCCATAATGCCAAGAACTCGAAATGCTGGCCTCGAATGAACGTTCCACATAACAATGTTACAAGGCACAGGGCAGCTAACAAGCTCGCAATTAACATGACGCTCCTGCAAAAAGAGGGAAGTTGGAAAATAGATGAATTCTCCATTTCTATGAGCACAGCCGTCCTTGTTAGCGGCGATTCCAATCATTTATGAGCTCTAGTCACTGGGTACACCACTTAATTACACATCACATAACATCCTTATTTTCACTCTAGAGAACCTGTTCATTTCAAGGAGCATTTCGATATCTCACAGTACTTTCTTTGAAAAGGTGAACAATCTGATCCACCCGAATTCTTCAGAAGCGATCAATTCGTTATTAACTTCC